GGTTCCCATCAGACCCGGGAAACTATAGACCAATTACCCTAACATCAATACCTGGGAAGATACTGGAAAAAAATAATCAAAAAACAGATCTGCGAACATCTAGAAACAAACAAAGTTATAATTAGAAGCCAGCACGGGTTTGTTAAAAACAGATCATGCCAAACCAATCTTATTTCATTCTATTATCAGGTGACTAAATTGGTGGACCAGCGGAATGTTGTGGATGTGGTATACCTGGACTTCAGCAAGGCATTCCACAAAGTAGACCTCAACCTACTTCTTGGAAAGCTTAAAAAAACTGGGATAGACAGCATCACCGTCAGATGAATTTTTAACTGGCTGACAAACCACACTCAAAGAGTAATCTTTAATGGTACTACGTCTATATGGATGGAAGTAAGCAGTGGGATACCACAAGGTTCCATCTTAGGCCCAGTACTCTTCAATATCTTCATAAATGTCTTAGATGAGGGAACAGAAGGGGAATTTATCAAATTTGCAGATGATACTAAGCTGGCAGGAATAGCCAACACCCTATGATAGGCTTAAGATCCAGATGGATCTTGACAGACTTGAACATTGGGCCCTATCTAACAAAATGAAATTTAACATAGAGAAAAGTAAAATCTTACACTTAGGGAAGAAAAATCAAAAGTACACATACAGATTAATTGAAATCTGGCTTAATAGCAGTAACTGTGAGAGGGATCTTGGAGTCCCAGTGACCAATCAATTAAATATGAGCCAACAGTGGCAGCAGCAGCAGCCAAAAAAGCCAATGCAATCCTAAATTGCATTAACAGAGGGAGTCAATCAAGATCACGTGAGGTACTAATACACTCTATAAAGCCTTAGTAAAACCATATCTAGAATACTGCAACCAATTTTGCTCTCCACACTATAAAAAAGATGTTGAGAGTCTAGAAAAAGTGCAGAGAAGAGCAACAAAGATGATTAGGGGCCTGGAGGCTAAAACATACGAAGAACGGTTATAGGAACTGGGCATGGCTAGTCTAGTGAAGAGAAGGATCAGGGGAGATTTGAAGGGCTATCACAGAGAGCAGAGTGTCAACCTATTTTCCAAAGCATCTGAAGCCCAGACAAAGAATAATGGATGGAAACTGATCAAGGAAAGATTCAACCTGGAAATAAGGAGAAATTTCCTGACAGTGAGAACAATCAACCAATGGAACAGACTGCCTTCAGATGTTGGTGCTTCATCACTGGAGGCTTTCAAAAAGAGACTGGACTGCCATCTGTTAGAAATGGTGTAAGGACTCCTGCTTGGGCAGAGAGTTGGACTAGATGACTTACAAGGCCCCTTCCAACTCTGTCTATTCTATTCCTATTCTATTCCTATTCTATTCTATTCTATTCTATTCTATTCTATTCTATTCTATTCTATTCTATTCTGCTTGAGCAGAGAGTTGGACTAGATGACTTACAAGGCCCCTTCCAACTCTGTCTATTCTATTCTATTCTATTCTATTCTATTCTATTCTATTCTATTCTGCTTGAGCAGAGAGTTGGACTAGATGACTTACAAGGCCCCTTCCAACTCTGTTTATTCTATTCTATTCTATTCTATTCTATTCTATTCTATTCTATTCTATTCTATTCTATTCTATTCTATTCTATTCTATTCTGCTTGAGCAGAGAGTTGGACTAGATGACTTACAAGGCCCCTTCCAACTCTGTTTATTCTATTCTATCCTATCCTATCCTATCCCAGGCTATTCTAGGCTATTCAAGTATCCATCTCAAATTGAGAATGATCAGAAAAGAGGATCAGAAAAGTTATTGATGGTCAATGATCGGATGGATGGACGGACGGACGGACGGACGGACGGACAGACAGAAATGGCCTAATATGATCCTTCAAATCTCCCAGTGGTACAGCCATTGCCAGTGTAACTGATTCCATCCAGCTTGCTCCTGACCATTCATTTTTTCCCCATCATTAGAGCTTTCTCCAGAGAACTAGGTTTTCACATTATGTGTCTGAAGTGTAATAATTTGAATTCGATCCTTTGTGTCCCAAGTGAGAGTTGATTTATTTGATGATCCATTCATTTATTTAATCTGACTTTGTTAGCCTGCTGTATGGCTCTGAAGTCCTAACTTTTCCTCCAGGTCTTTCAGCCAAGCAGTTAGGTGAGCTCTGTTGATGCTGATGATGTGGTTTTGTTTTGGGGATTATTGTTAATTCGGGCATTGTGAGCTTGTACTTTGGTGATGGTTTTAAATTTTGTACATTGCCCAGAGTCCCTGTTGTGATATGGGTGGCTCTGTAAATTGTGTAAATAAATAAACAACCAATCTGGGGGATTAGTAGGCCTTTTTGTGCAATCTTTATGTTCTAACAGGTAGAAGATATCTACCACTTCAGTATCTTTATTGACCGTTCCAAGGCTGGTTGTTGAACTTCCTTTATATTTCTTTATATTTATAGTCCCATCTTTTCAATGTGCTTCTTGACTTTTATTATTAAAGCTTGCAGATCCTTCGCGTTTTCGTCTATCAAAGCAGTATCTTCAGCATAGCTCAGGTCACTGATATTTCTTCTTCCACTTTTAAAACCACACTCCTATTCTTCCAGTCTGACTTCCCTCAATATATATGTTCAGCAGGTAGGTTGAATAAATGAGCGGAGGGGATACATTCTTATCTCACTCCTTTGGCAGTCTGCTTCATCGTATTTTGTCCATACTATGGCTTCCTGATAGGTTATGCATAAAGACTACAAAATGTTCAGGAATTCTCATTTTTCTAAGCGCATTTCACAACTGTATGGAATAAAGTTACTCATAAACTCAAGGAATGGGTTAATGAATGGCAAATCTATATGGGGAGAAGAGTTTTCCTCTTTTAATGTAATACTTTTATCCTGCTTTCATATAGAAGGCTGTTAAACGTAAGTTTCTCCTTATGTTGTTTGCTAAATCAGAATAATTTTCTGTTAAACCATGGATATGTGTTTTTTGAAATGTAGTACTCATAGTGTCATAGAATTGAAAGGAGCCTAAGGGGTCATCAAGTCCAGCCCCATGCACACTACAAGATTCACTATACCACGGGTCGGCAACCCACGGCTCCAAAGCCGCATGTGGCTCTTTGAGCCTTCTCCTGTGGCTCCCAGCCTCCTCCGCCATTTACAGAGACAGAGAGAGGCACTTGCGCTTCCCTTCCCTTCTCTCTCTCTCTCTCAAAAAGAGAGTGGCCTCACGCTGTTCTCAGACAAGCTTATTGGGCGGGGCTCCTGCCTTTGCTGCGTCGAAGCAGGAAGCAGCAGCTCTCTCTCTCCCCCCCCCCTCTCTCTCTTCACTGAGTGGGGGAAGAGGACTGGCAGACCAAGGGCAGGAGAGAGCCAGCCCAATAAGAATGTATGTCAACTTGTCAGAGAACAGTGTGATGCCAGCTTGCCAGGTGAGCAGAAGATCGGAGAGAGGAAGAGAGAGGGGGGAGAGAGAGAGAGAGAGAGAACTCATGCACAGCAGCCTCTTATTTCTTTTTAATTAAACTCTTCAATCAAGCTCCCCCTTTTGTGTGTGTGCGCGTGCAGGTTTTGCGGCTCCCAGTGTTTTTTTTCTCTGGGAAACAGGTCCAAGTGGCTCTTTGAGTGTTTAAGGTTGCCGGCCCCTGCACTATACCATCCACGATAGATGACTTTCCAGCCTGTCTTTGAAAACCTCTAGTAAAGGGGGGGGGGAACCATTCTATCCAATCATCTTTTCTACTGATTGACAATTCTTACTTTCAAGAAATTCTTCTCAATGTCTAATTTGTATCTAATTCCTTAAGTTTTCATCCAATTAATTCTAGTCTTAATCTCTAGAACAGGTGAGAATAATTCTTTTATACCATGACAGCCCTTTAGATATCTGAAGACAACTATCATATCTCCTCTCAACATACTCTTCTGCAAGCTATACATAACTAGGTCTTTAAACTGTTCCTCATAGGACTTGGTTTTCGATCCTTTTACTACCTTAGTAGCCCTTCTCTGGAGTAGTTCCAGTTTATCAATAGCTTCCAGTTTGACGTTGTAGCAATATGGACGCAGGAAAGCAGAGCTCTGCTTTCCGCGCCCGATTTCGCCCTGCTGGGGGTCCTAAAAGGGCCTAAAGTCGCTCCAAAAAGGTGATGAAGAAGGAGGGGTGCCTTGCTGATCACAGAGAAATGGTGGTCTTTCCGTTAAATCTGAGGAAAGCCCTCCAAACCGGCAGGAGAAAGACTGGTTGCATCCCTGCGACCAGCTTTCAGCTACTGACAACCGAAGAAACAAAGCAGATCGTAAACAGCGTAGCCCTACTCTTCCAGAGAAATGGAAAAAACTTAAGGAAACAGTAAACCACCTTGTTGGCTGCTGCAAGAAGATTGCACAAGATGACTACAAACAACGGCGTGACAAAGTAGCAACAATGGCGCATTGGAAGATCTGCAAAAAATATCATTTGCCTGCAAGCAAAAAGTGGTGGGGCTGTAAAATAGCACAAGTCATATAAAATGAAGAAGCTAAAGTGCTGTGGGACTTTAGAATTCAAATAGACAGGCACCTGCTATATAACACGCCATATTTAACAATTATCAATAAGAAAGAGAAAAGATAAAAATACCAGATTCAGTCTAAATATCCGAACTGTGTGAGCAAGAGGTAAACTCAAGACCTCTCTCCCTGGTGGCTGACTATCCAACCCTGAGTAATACTGTCTCACCACTAGCCACTTCACTTTTACAACTAGCATGAAGCTCTATAGAGATTCCTCAATGATTAATTGATCCCAATCAACCTTCCATCATTTATCATTCACCTATTGACCCCCAACCATTTATCAACTCCTTAGATAGTCCCATTAACCATTGGGGAAGTCTTCTCTAAAGTAATTTAAATTCTAACATTATAGGAACATAGAGAGAAAAAATAACATTTATTATTGCCATTATAGTGTAGTTATATAACCCCGAATAAATAAATAATGCTATTTCTTTTACCTCTGCAGGCTGTATATAGTTCTATCAAGAATGAAAAGCTACAGTGGGCCATGTGAGTACCCTGTTATTATCTGTAGTAAAAATTATATTCCTTTTTTTTGGGAATAACTTTGTAATCTTACCCTGTATTTTTTATTTCTACCTGTTTATTTTTCATATAAATCCAAGATGTGTCACAATGAAAATAAAATGTGCTGCTGTCTGCTTCAACATCTTGTTCTAGACCAGGGGTAGGCAACCTTGGCTATTTTATGACTCGTGGACTTCAACTCCCAGAATTCCTGAGCCAGCTAAGTCTTTTATGACTGAGCCAGCCACGAGTCTTTTTATGACTGAGCCAGCCACGAGTCTTTTATGACTCGTGGACTTCAACTCCCGGAATTCCTGAGCCAGCCATGCTGAGGGGAAAGGGAGAGGTTTCCAAGCTGAGCCATGCTGGCTCAGGAATTCTGGGAGTTGAAGTCCACGAGTCATAAAAGAGCCAAGGTTGCCTACCCCTGACCTAAGTCCTCCTGTTCTAAGCGGTGAGCCTCCTAGACCAGAGGTAGGCAACCTTGTCTCTTTTATGACTCGTGGACTTCAACTCCCAGAATTCCTGAGCCAGCCATGCTGAGAGGAAAGGGAGAGGTTTCTAAGCTGAGCATAGCTGACTCAGAAATTCTGGGAGTTGAAGTCCATGAGTCATAAAAGAGCCAAGGTTGCCTACCCCTGCTCTAGACCCCTTCTCCAGTTTGTCGTAATCATCAAGCGGATCATTGTCAGATATATGGGGGAAATAGCCATCTTTTTAGTGGATTATAGCCGTCTTTCTTAAAGAAAGCTGAAATGATCCTGAATTGAATATTCTTGAAATATTTTTGAATACAGGTAGCCCTCGACTTACAACTGATCACTTAGGGACCATCAAAGTTACGACAGACCCCCCCAAAAGGTATTTACAACCCAGCCCCAAAGTTTTGTCTGCTGTAGCACCCCTGCAGTCATTCACCCTTATGACCAACTGCAGAGATGGAGCAGCGTGTACACCTTTACCTACCCCCTCCCTCATGTTGCCCCACCAGATCCCCATGGGCACTGGGTCTTCTTTGCCACTCCACCAGGTTCTATGCACTCTTTCCACCCCCTGTGATCAATCGCTCGTCTACTTTTCGAAGATCCCCAATCCTCAAGGGGGTCAGGATAGGGAAGGAGGAAAGGTCTATTCCAGGGGTAGTCAACCTTGGCTCTTTTATGACTCGTGGACTTCAACTCCCAGAATTCCTGAGCACGAGTGTTTAGGGAGCCAATCAGGTGTCATCTTGTTTTGGCAACGAGCCAATCAGACCACAGTAGGATTCAGTTATTGATGTCATGTATTGAAGCTGAGAGGAGGACATTTGTCAGTGTGTTATGTGACCGCTATCACGTTGGTTGGGTTTTTTTGTGTTCTTTCATTGAGTGAGCTTGTAAAACATAAAGTAATGGTGCAAAGAGTTGACTGGTTGCCCAGAAAGCGATGTCAAATAGTATTATTAAGTGAACAAGGCTACGGTTATAAAGAAATTAGAAGAAAAATTGGTGGAAACTTAACCAAAGGTGGCATTTCTACTGTACACTTTTCCCAAAAGGTTTCCACAATTTTGGCCACTACTATAGCTTTATGGTACACGCTGAAGGTGAAGAATGAATCCTCTATATGCTTACCATTGCTCTGGCTCTGTGGAAGATGAGAACTCTTACAGAGCAGCTTTATAAGGGCTACATTTTGAAACCTGTCCGTGTACACAGTATGTAGCAGAAATCCTTTCTAAATTCAGCTCATCAATAATATTTATTTTGTGACAGCATTTCAGCTGCATAAATCTCAGTGACTTCTAGATACAAGAGATATAAGAAAATTCTAATTCTTTGCTGCCATTTTGTATAAATATGCCCACTGTTGGACACATCACTAATGATTTTGGATAGTTTGTGTGGATGTACCAGGAATTAAACAACTGGCTCTCACACACCCAAACCCCAGGAGCATTTGTATAGAGACTGCATCTGGGTTGCACAGATTTGGGCATTCAAGGGAGATAAATCCTTTGTTACCAGCTAATGGTTGTTAGATTAAGTAGGTCAACACTCCTTTGGGGAAAAAAGTTGATTGGACAGAGCACTCAGACTGTAGAAACACTGCCTCTACGCACACGGTACATAGTAATAGGTGGTTGCTGAATCATTTATATCCTAGTCAAGAAAACCCCAATGACAGCCCATATATTTCCCAGATTGGCTCTGACGCTACTGGCTTTTTGCAAGACCCTGAAGGTATGATTTGCCAAGTAGATTATGGGAGTATGGTGGAACTGGTGCAGTGGCTGCACTGATTGTTCAGGTGAATGGCATTATGGGCTGCAAATTTTATATGATATTGTGTCTGGCTCTCTCTCTCTGTGTAAAACTTTTAAGCTGTTGTATTGTTCTTATTTGTTGTTTTTATATTTGTTCTAAATATTTCTAAGCCACCCACAGGATGGATAGATAGATAGATATAGATATAGATATAGATATAGACAGGGCTTTTTTTCTCATAGAATGCCTAGAACGGAGTTCCGGCATCTTTTTTGGATGGAACCTTGTAGAGTAGGCAAAGCGGGTTGTATTACGTGTGTGAGTTCCGGCACCTTTTTTTTTTTTTAGAAAAAAAGCACTGGATATAGATATAGAGATAGGATAGAGAGAGAGAGAGAGAGAGACAGACAGACAGACAGACAGACAGACAGAGATACAGATACAGATACAGATACAGATAGATGCAGATAGATAGATAGATAGATAGATAGATAGATAGATAGATAGATAGATAGATAGATAGATAGATAGATAGATAGATGTGTGTATGCAATGGGAAACGTCCGGAATGGACTTCCAGAAACGGTATCTACACACAGAACTGGTTGTTCACCTATTTGAATCCCACCACTGACTCTCATTCATTCAGACCTTAAATATCCAAATCTTTCCTGTGCTGGCCAGGCAATAATAATAATAATAATAATAATAATAATAATAATAGTAGTAGTAGTAGTAGTAGTAGTAGTAGTAGTAGTAGTAGTAGTAAAGTTGGAAGGGACCTTGGAGGTCATCAAGTCCAACCCCCTGCTCAGGCAGGAAACCCTGTACCATTTCGGACAAATGGCTGTCCAGTCTCTTCTTAAAAACTTCCAGTGTTGGAGCATTCACCACTTCTGGAGGCAGGTTGTTCCACTGGTTAATTGTTCTAACTGTCAGGAAGTTTCTCCTTAGTTCTAGGCTGCTTTTCTCCTTGAACTTGATCATTAAAACCTGGTGAAGATTTTTTCCCCTATGGCTATTCCATGATGATAGGGAGCATGAGAGCTTCAGAGTGATTTTTTCAAATAATGTTATTAAAGTACTATATAAGGAATAAAAATTATACAAACTACAACGATATAAAAGAAAAAAGTGTGAGGAAGAAAAAAATCCTCTTTCACCCCAACAAATATGCACAATTTAAATTTATTGCCATGTCTTAAGTTGCAACCGAAACTCTCTTCACCCTGTATCTAGTTTCTCAACTAAAAACACAATCCCAAATTGTTGTCGTTCATTCCTTGTCAGCAAAAGTCCAGTAAATATTTAGTAATTAGTAATAATAATTAGTAATTAGTAAATAATCATTAGCAATTAGTAAAACAACTAATTATCTCTTATCTTTGAGCAAATAAGCCAATTTTTGTCGCTTTTCAGAAAGTCCTTACAACCTATCTCTTTTCTATACCTAGTAAAAAAAATCATCCAAGTATATCTTCTGTAGACATTAAAGCATCATCCTCTTTCATTTGAAACTGTAATACATCCTTTTCTGCATCCCTCTCCTTCCTTGTCACATTTATATCCAGATTAATTTCAGACTTACCCAGAATATCTTGTTCTTCTTTCCATTGCATCCTTAATTGTTTATCAATCATTTCTGAGAATGACCACTTGTCAAAAATCTTCATAAACTTTTCTTGGCATTCCATGCAAAAAAAAATCATTAGAATATTTTTCCATTCTTTTGTTATCCTCTACCTCCCTCTGGTGTCCAACTCTAGTATGCAACTTTTAAAATCTCATCTTGTTCCAAAGTTGTTTTTCAAAAGGCAAATGGACTTTCTTGGGGGGGGGGGGGTTCATGAAAACATTCTGAATTCTGAGAACTAGAAAACTAGTTCTGAGAAGAACTGAAGAAGCTCCTTGGATGAGAAGTGAAACATTTTCAGGAAAACAAAAACACAAGAAAGTCCAGTTGCCTTTTGAAAAGCACCTTTGGAACAACCAATGACCTGGATAATTGAAAATCTCCATAGACATCCCATTATCTTGCTTTATCTAGCAAAGGGGTAAGCGCCAGTGGCACTTTCTCATGAGAAAAGTTATTTCAAAAAATTAAAAGATAACGATTCCAAGTCATCCATCCCACTTAACCTTGAACTTACCCATCAATGGTGGTGGAGGGCAATCTCCTTGGCCCAGAGTTGGGGCCCATGTTGGCTGGACAGTCATCGTCTGGGTGATTGCAAGGATGGCAACCAACTGGGGTGGTCAGTAGAGCCATTGGTGGGGGTATAGCAGGTGCTGTGTTGGGCATGGCTGTAGGGCCTGGCAGCATTGTGGCGGCTCCTTGCGCTGGAGGATCTAACCCCCTTAAACAGCAACATTAGTCCTGCAGAAAAAAAAACGGAGAGAAAAAGTTAGAAGAGAAATTTCACTTAGGTTTGTCAGGGTATTGGTTATGAAAGCGTTTAACAAGTTTAGGAACCCTAACATGGCGGTAGTCAACCCAACCTTCCAGAAAGCTAGGTATTGGAGATTTCCCCAGGGTCTACAAAAATCCAAAATACTACGAACCTCAAAATGTTGCTCCCCCTCAATCATTAATGGCTTGGGGGTGGCAGAAGTTCTGGTCTAAGGAAGGAGGTAACCTTGAGTTTTAACAAGCTACAATGGAATACAGGATGGACCCATTGAAGGGACATGGGCAGGTTTAATTCTACAGTTACTGGATTAATGATGCGTTTGATG